TAAACTAAACTAAACTAAACTAAACTAAACTAAACTAAACTAAACTAAACTAAACTAAACTAAACTAAACTAAACATTAGGGACACTTTTTTCCTATTTTTCTTTCACGCTTTTCTGCAGCTAGAGTGGAGAATGAAACTTTGGTGGCCACACACAGAAGCCATGGTTGCGTTCCTGATGGGTTTTGCTGAAACTCAAGACCAAGAGCTTCTGGAGCTATTTCACCAGGTGGCCAATTATGCCTTTGCTAAGGTACCTTTGAAGACTGAAAGCTGGGAATCATGGAATCTGTTTAGCCTCGGGAAGTAGATGTATTTGAGTTAGTTAGGAAAGAGTAGGGGGAAATTAGAGATAAAGGTGGAAAATGCTCTGCGATTTCATTTCATGAAAACACTTCATGAATCCTTGGGAAATTGCTATTAATGTTTCATAAGCAATATCAGCTTTGAGGGACTGAATATGGTTTTGTATGAGGATAGATTCTTTGCTTAGTGTCTGGAAGAATGTCAACACTCTAATGCAGTGTTTCTCAACCTTGGCAACTTGAAGATGTCGGACTTCAACTCCCAGAATTCCCCAGCCAGCATTCGCTGGCTGGGGAATTATGGGAGTTGAAGTCCAGACATCTTCAAGTTGCCAAGGTTGAGAAACACTGCTCTAATGTATTTGATAAAAATGAGGTGTTATCTCTTTATTTTTTTAGCTGTTTAGACAGCCTGTTTTTCCTTCAGAACTTTTCGACAACACACAAAGCCTTTTTTTCTCTCATTTTTCCCTACAACAACTCCCTCTTTCCGTACGATTGAGGTGGAAGAAAGAAGATGGCCCATTATTACTCTGTGAGATTCTATCACTAGTGAGGATTTGAACTCCTGTGTCAGTCCAGCTTTATTTTCACCATCACAGCTTCATTATCAAAATAGAAATTGTGTCCTTTGGCTTTTTCTCCAAATGTAGCTTGTTTTTCAACACCATTATTTTTTGTTACTAGAAGCCTTAAATGTGTTTTGCATAGACCTTGAAGTTATTAGGAATCCTCCAGATTGTGCTAGACAATTCCTATCATAGTTTCTTCTATTATCTTTAGCCTTCAGATACAGACAAAGCTGTTTCATGCTTTCTCACATCCTTCCTGCTCATAGCACAAAAGAACCATGAAGGGTTAGTATTCATAAATTCTGGAAGGATTGCTAAATGGATACTGGGGACAACAACAGGATGCTGGTTCATTGTCCTGTTGCTGAACAAACAGAACAAATCCTTTCACACCACAGCAATATTATTACTTGATCACAAATAGAGAAATTAGAATTCTTCAATGGCCAAGTGTAATTGGACAAGGAAGGAATTTGTCTCCAATGCATAAGCTCTCAGTATACATACTAACTCCAAGTGATAAATCATGATCATAATCATCATAAAATACATTCATTCTAAATCATAAGATACAACTTAGATGTCTACTATCTACTGGATGTGCATGTTTATTTTATTACTCTCCTCATTAGACTTGCACTGTTAAACAAAGACGACAAACATTTCTGTGATAATTTTTTTTTATTTTAAACACATAAACACATCAACAAAAACAAACACATAACTTAAAAACAACATAGGAACAATAAGTTCCATCGTATATCATACAGCAGTTTTGAATCGGCCTCTTTGCAGTTAGTGTTTTCCCTACTATACATTTCTATCATTCATTATCTCCTTATTCGTTATCCATTTGTATGTACAGTTCTTTATTTATTTAAACTTAGCTACTTATGACCAGATATTATTTACCTATATTATGCTATATATTTTTACGGTCATTTGTTCTCTTACATACATTGACATGCAGTTGTACTTTTCAATAGAAGCTTTCTTTTGATCTAAATTGCCCTGGCCACAGTCCACATTTCTTTTTTCTTTTTTTAATTGAAAATTTTGAAGAAAAAAAAAACTTTTACAAATATTTACCTCCCTCCCCCTCCC